GGCGGGCGCGTGTTGCGTGGCTTTCGTGGCTTCATGGCGGCGTATATTTCGTGGTGTGCGAGGCTTCGAAATCTCTTCTAGGCGGGCTTACCGTTTTACCGGTTGGCTGAATGTTGATTTTCTGCTGTGTTTGTTGCCATGTCGGAGTCCACTATATGAGGAGGGCTGTGTTCTTCCAGACGCGTTGTTTACTTCCAGTTGCGGTGTGTTCTTCATCGTCGGGTTGTGTTCGTCGGGTTGTTCTTCGTCGGGGTCACCACTTTACCATATGTTACATGATATAAATAAAATATATATGTGGATATTTGATGAGAGTTTACTGGATACTGAATGAGTACCGAATGAGGATTGACTGACTCTGATTGGTTGACCGAGTGACTGACTGACTCTGGTTGACTGAGTGAGGTTTACATTTTGTATGAGCTACTTATACTAATTTGGTACGTGTGTTCTATGCTGATGCACAAGGCATGATTGTAACTTTGCTTGTACCAAGACGTGCCTGAATGTCGGAAGAGGGTTAGACATTCTGGCACGTCTGTGGCTGGTACAGTCTCGAAAGACCTAATTGAGCTAAGTCCATCATTTTCGCTTTGTATGGTTGTGTCATTCTTTCGCGCAATATCTCTAAAATCGCAGGAAAATGCCTTAATGTGCTGTTTTGGAGTGCAAAACTAAAAGTCGTACCAAAAATATTATCCGTAGTAGTATTTCATAGCATCGGTAATTTTTATTTTAATAAATTAATTTTCTTTTTATCGAATTGATTCAGATGTTAATCCTAGGGTCGGCGGACTAAAACACATAAATCAAAAAAGTTCTTTATTTGTTAATACATAATTATATATTTGTTGTGTTGTTTATAGTGTTGGAAGATGTAAAGAGAATAATAAATTTGAAAAAGACGCCTCTACAATAAAGTTACAAATTTATGAAGTAACAAATTAATATGACTTATGTGCTTTAGTCGTTAGATGAATGATGTTGGATTTTGACTTATGTGCTTTGGTCCGCCGACGTCGTAGTCCAATTACTGGCCGCAAGATGGCAGCACGTTGAATAAAATTTAAATATACAAAACGTCGTAACTTGCTATAAAGGTATTGGTAAGTTTAAATTATATTTACAATAAAATTCAGAGTTTGTTACAGCTTTTTAAATTAGAAACATCTTCATTGTCTTTTTTATTTTAGTGTGTTTATCATTTGTTCGCGTGCGTTTTGGCGACAGTGGTTCCGTCAATAATCGATTTTTTTTCTCCCGTGATGTGCACATATACGAGCCGCGCGGCTGTTTGTATAGAGTGTTATACTCATAGATTTAGTATATCCATAGATTGGCCCTGACGTATTGGAGACGAGACCAAAACAAAAATACATCTGTGTGCGTATAATGTGCATGTGTGCAAGATAAATAGTGTTGCGCCATCCACTGATTTAACTTTAATATCGATTAACATATTACACCGGCATTTCACTTCGTTGTATTCACCAAAATGTCTTAACGCAAAATACCGAGACGTTAATTAACTAGTTAATTAATGATTCAATAGAAAATTAAGAAAGCTACTATCACCTTCTGGTAGTGCCACAGGATGGTAGGTAAACAACGGGGACTTTCACCCAAGATAACACTATGGCTCTACAAAATGGTGATAAGACCCATGATCAGTTACGGCGCGATAGTATGGAGGCCACGAACCAAGCTGACGACCGCAACCTACAAACAAATATAACTATTATAATTATTGTATGATATGATAACATAGAAGTGCATCCCAGCAGTGAATTTGCAGATAAGTAATAGAACCAAAAAACCGGCCAAGTGCGAGTTCAACTCGCGCGGAGAGGTTTCGGTACAAACTTAACATTGTAGTTGAAGAATATGTTCTCCAATAGATTCCAACAGCAAATATAGGTTTATTCGCGCAATAGTAGGAAATTTAAAGACAATTTCTGTATTTTTTCAAAACTTTAGGCTCTGTAGTTTCGAAGATAAAGGGTAGAATGATCAATTTTTGTCTATTTTCTTAAACAACTTAAAAATATTTATATTTCATAATTACAAAAAATATATATTCTTTAGAACTTTCCCTCCCAATAGTGACTTAAAAATTTAGAATTAATTTATTTACGTTGCACGTTTTGGTCACACAAATGAATATGTGTACCAAAGTTGAAAAAAATCAGTATCGTATTTTGGAACAGAACAGAACTCTAACAACAATAAATCGCTGATTTCTTGTTGATGAGAGTACCTAGTGCTACACAAAAATCAATTAATTGTAAGACATACCGCATGAATAATGTGGGTACAGAACCAGAACGTAGCTTTACTCTTTGCTTGCCTCTAAAGGCGTTTTATTTAAAAGCATTTTTCCTCAAAGTGTTTGTTTGCTGCATATTTTTGAAAACTTTTTGGAAAGTCTTCTTTCTTTAGCTTTATAAGCCATTTCTGTCGTACTTCAATGTTTTGAGGAAATCTAAATCAACAACAATAATTAACATAAAAAATGGGTGCCTCAACTATGCTATTAAAAGAAATTTTCGTTTTAATGTAAACAAAATATAATGTACTAATGCAATATTAATTAAATATAAAGTACTAAATCCAGAAATTTCTGATTCAATAAATAAAAAAAAATTAAGTATGAAGATGATTTCGGCTGTATGCAAGTCACGCCTTTGCCTTTCTTTTTTTTCAGTTAATGACATCTCGATAACATATTATCGATTGCGTCAATCTCTATGAAAGTGGGGTTATGAATTTCAGAAATTCACGTATTTGATATATTTTTTAATTGAATACGTATACATTTGGGTTATTAATGCACTTGAATGGTATAATTTTACGGATATATTTAAGTAAAAAACTTTTGTGGTAGTGCTTTTAGACAGCTAAAAATTTAAATAGTACTTACATGTGAAATGTACAATTCTGCGAGTTTTCCTTTTTAGATAAGTTACATCCGGACACTGAAAACTTTACAATGACTAATAAACGTCCGTTTAACACTATTTCACATTTTAAAACCAATTATTTTTCAAAAATAAACGAAATTTGTTTCGTTGTCAGCTGACCCTAGGTTCATATAGCCTCATAGCTTATAATGAAGTGGTCTCGTCTACCCATCTCGTTCTAACATACGTGTATACTAACTCTCTTTCACTTGCATTGCCAATCTATGGGTACCTATATACTAAATCTATGGCATAGATACTTAAAAAGATGGCGTTAAAATAAATAAACGGAAGTAAAGTTCTTTTTTCTTATTTTTATATTTTCTTCGCGAAAATGAGTTCTAGTGAGAAAACCGAAAATACAATAGTGATCTGTAGTGTACTCCGCCTAATTTAAAACAATAAACAAAATTTGTCACTGTAAAGTAGTTTTAATTTTTCTGTTATAATACGTGCTCCTTTTTTAAATTTTTTAGCCATTTAATATTTCCCTGCATTGTTTGAGAAAAGTACTGTAATACGTATACTATAATATATAATTAAATATAATTACTATTCAGTTTTTATTGAATGTAAAGAAATTTCACCACCATGATATTCAATTATTTTTTGTGAAATCTTTGGCAAGTGCTTACTTGGCAAGTGCTTACTTGGCAAGTGCTTACTTGGCAAGTGCTTACTTAGCATAGAGTCTGGCACGGTTTGCTCCAATGTCTCCAGTTTGTTCAAAGCCAACCGGATCGAGTGATTTTTTGTAACTGTTCTATCTTTGTTTAAATAATTATTACTTAGATTAATTTGCTGGTGAAATTACATTCACATGGGACTTGTCAACTTTTGTCTCAGGGTGCCGGACGCAGTGGCAGCGCCCCTCATGAGTGGCACTGCAAATGTTAGGGACAGCCGTGTCGCTCATAAAAAAAGCACTTTCTTTATGCACTTTTTTCAGCTAATAAACAAAGAGCAGGGCCCATTTTTAGAATACGAAGAGTATCTGGCACCTGTGTTGACTGTTCAACTTCTCGAGTACGAAACGGATGAGCTTTTAGGTAAATATGTGGTGGCGCTTCTTGCGTATAAAAAATCTATATCTATGGTCAAAACGACTGGTTCTGAGATCATTACGACGATTAATCTTATGACGTACTATTTATTATTAATATTATTTGTTTATTCATTTATTTCATTGTCAAACTTATATTATTTTAGGTACAGTGGCTTGTAAATGTACAGGTTTAAGAGCACGTCAAGTTTGATATTTAAGATTATAATCCAACTCTAAATCGCTTATAATAAGTACGGTCCAATGTACAAATTGTCAAGCTTGATGTGCTCTTGACTGTACACGTGACACCCTGTAAGGTGATGAGGTCATCTATTCATTACAAAAATATTATTTAGCAGCAGTAGAGCTTCTTGTGACAGAGTTCGTCCAGGGAAGTACTGCCACTTTGCCTATTTCTGCCGCCAAGCAGCAATATTACTGCGTTCCGGTTTAGAAGGATAAGGGTGCTGGTGAAATTACAGATACATAGGACTTGTCAACTTTATGTCTCAGGGTAAGGGGGCAGAGGCAGTGCCCCTCAGATCTTTGCGATTTAAAGCTCTGAGTGGCACTGCAACTGTGTGCACAGGCGTGTAACTTACCATCGGCGGACAACTTGTTCGTCCCGGCACTTGATATTATATAACAAAAATGCGGTCATATTAAATAAATCATTACAATTATACTGTATATAAGATAAATTAAGATGCACCTCGAAGTATTATAATTGCATTATAAATTACATTTTGTCATTGAAACATTCTATAATATTAAAAAAATATTTATTTATGTGCAATTTATTTTAAATATTTAGAGTAAATTCTAAGTAAATCTCTTTTATGTAAATTGGTACGTGATTGTAAATTTTAGTTATCATTATTTGCGATCCTGGACAAACTAAGTTTAATTTAGAAAATTGTACTTTGAATTCATGTAGGTTTCTGTTCTGACCTTTAAGTACAATTTTTAGAGTAAATAAAGTGGGATGGTATATTACTAGTTTGCATGACTCAAGAACGTGTACCTATAACTGTTAAGGTTAATATGCCTAATCTTTAAAAAAGAGGTCCACAGGATTCTCTTTGAGCTACTTCCCCCATCGAGTATATAACCAGAAATAGATACGAAATAAGGGTCGTCCATCCCTGGTAACTCACCACGTAAATGGGCCTGATTTCACTTTTAAATATCAACTCTCGTTTGCGCTGACATCACAAATTAGAAAGCTGAAATAGTACAGCGCCAACAACTGACCTGAGTGTACATTTCCGTATATTCCAAAAAATATTCTGTATTTATTGTAATAAAGATAATATCTGTAACTATCGAGGGCTGTTCCATTAGTTTTATGGGAAACAACAACAAAACATCTAATTACAAAACAAACGGAATCACATTTCATCTGTTATAAATCAGTGCCGCCAGTGAAAAACGGAATAAGACGAGTTATGCCCTTTTGCTTTTATTGCACCATTGGCTTCAGCGTGTAAGATTACATAATATATCCTAAAAGGGCGTAACTCACTGTTTCTAATGGCGTAATATTAGTTATCGGGCATTTTTTATGAGTCTGTAGGTGCAAGTGCTCTTAATTCAAAAAATACATTCAAGTTTAACGTATAACTACAAATATACTTTTAAATAAAGACACTTTTCGTGTTGTTCCATAATGACGGCAAAAAAAGTAGAACTAAAAGCGACTATTGCCTTTTTCCATAGTGTATATAAAGGCATAACTCACTCAACGCACTGTGTTGAGTGAGTTATGCCTTTTTATAGTTAGGATCAAAGTAACAACTTTCGCATTTATAATATTAGTTTCGATTGGATTAAGTTGATGTTTCATCAAAACGACAACAAATAATTGGGTTGAAAATAATTTAAACCAGGACGTACTTTGAATCCGAAGGATGATGCTTGTTACAACAACTTGATAGCGTCTCAGAACAGTGTGAGTGCTTATTCGTGTTATAATTATAATTTTGGTGCAAATTGTTATGTAGGATAAAAAATAACCAATAATCGTCCTTATATATATAACAAATATGTAATTTTGTCAACTGTTGGGCAAATACCTATTTTCTTACAGTTATAATAAACATCTTTAAATTCTCCGTTGTTTGTTCTATTATTAAGAGCAGCTTATTTTTATTTGATGATAAATATCACTATAATTATGTACTTTATTTTCAGAGTAATGTTTGTTCCTTTTTTTATTAGAAATCCACCGAAATCGTTTGATCATAGCTACAGTAATATTGAACAACATCGCGATCGAGAGATAATCAATGATGAATACACTACTTATATCAATACTTACATATAATGTTTAATTACAAACTTATGACTAAGTAGATTAGTGTAAGTAACCTATAGTTCCTATAAAAAACAACTTTTAGGTAAAATTTATATGTACCTATACGTTTTTTTTTATTTTTAGTCCATCTTTTGTTATTATTTTAGTAGTCATGTGTTCAATTATTTATTTTTTCTTTGCTTTCATTAATTAAGGATCAAGAGCTCGGAATTATTGAGCAAGAAGTAATGTTTAAGACGTAAGTCTGCTACTTTTACAATAGCAATATACATATATGTAATAAATAGTGAACGAAAGAATCGGTAACAGCTAGTGTAAAAAGTAAAAATATTTGTAATGCTTTCATTCCAGAGATTCGGAAGATCGAGTACATACTCAAGAGTCAAAGATCTTAGTTATTTGTTGACAAACAGATCCGACAAACTACTCTTCATAAGCGTTGAGAAAAAGAAAGATCTTCTTGCTCTTCTACCATTAATTGACAGTGAATGTCATGAATTTATCTACCAACTGCATTGACTTACAATTATATGGACGTCGGGTCCGCGCTAAAAAGTGTCCGCACTTGTAAGGCGCTAAAATCGTATACAGAGCGCCAAACTCCGCTTTAGTCTTCATTTGTTCTACTGACAGCGCGATACTGCGATGACATTACAATTTAAATTTCGAATAGGTCGACTTGGGACATTTTTTTCGTGGATTTTGTATTAGACCCGTCGTCCATTTATTTGTAAGTCAATGACCAACTGCCAAAATGGTACGAGCCGATGAACAATCAGATTTAAACGATTATAATTATTTCAACGACATATGAAGATTAATTTAACATACAATACACTTTCGTAATTTTAAACAATTTCGTTATTTTTACCGCACAGTTGTTTTCATACACATTTTTTATTTGCTTGAATAAGTCGCACTATTTCTTTGTTTGTGATAAAGACGAGCGTCATAAGTATTGTTATAACCATAGAACAGTCGCAGCTAAAGGAATAAGTCGTTTTATGTCTCAAAATTTCTTAACATAAGTCGTGTTGTATCTTTAAGCTCTTCGTAAATAAGGACACGACTCGAAAAAAACTTTAAAAAATATTGAGACTATTACTGGATGTTTAACCAATACACATCAAACGAAAGCTTCGACGCACAACACACAACAATCAATAAAAGTATGTTTTTTGTCTCTCCTGAAAAGTGTCGATCTTGAGGTATTCCCTTTTTCACTGGAAGCACTGAAATATTAAATAATAATATGTAATTTTTTAATTTTCGACTATTATAGCACTCAAACTGTTAAACAGGTCGATTTGAAGTTAAACAATTGGCGACACCCGTCAATTGTTTCGAATTCGAGCTGGTCAATCGGAGCGCAGTTGTCACCGTAATGATTTGGCAGAATAGTTTTCAAACAAATTAAATGACATTTCGTGTCTATTTCTGATTATATACTCGATCGTTTCCCCATATAATGACTCCATATGACAACCTCGAATGACAGTACGCATTGTATGCCGTAAGAGCAGATTTACAATCAGTTACACGCTTTAGATGACGCAGGGCGTATATGAATGATGACAACCTGTTGGTCACATTCCAGATGAAGTGTAGTCCCTAATCAACTAAAAGATGGAGTCGGTTTTCAGTAGATTAGCTTGACCTACGCTGTATCTTATTATCGTTTAAAAAATTCTAGGATCGCTAACACAGAACTTAAATTCATTGCCACGAGGAGCGAAATTGGCAGAGCAGTGTGATAAGGTGTCAATGGAGAATTCGAAAAAAATTAATTTGTTCGCTTTGAAATCCATTCGAGGCTGGTGGCCTTTGAGCAGTTCTAGTTCAAACAATGAAGAAGATCTTACTTTAATTGTAAGTCGTTTAAACGTGTTTGTCTTTGATAATGCTTGTTTTAAAAAATTGTTATCCTTGATTGAATGAATGAAATATATGCTTTATTGAACATTAAAATTAAAATGACAACACAGTGCACCAATGTAAGTATCACAGAGTAAGCCAATGTAGAACAGGCGGTCTTATTGCTAAGTAGAAATTTCTTCCAGGCAACTTTAGGATAGAAATTTAAGTGTTGGAAAGGGGAGTGCAACCTATATACGCTTATATTATAATAACTTGTAATATAAGCGATTAAAATAAATACAGTATTCATCATGAAGTAAATAATATAAATAATAATAAAAAATACTATATTATTAGAACGTATGCGTTACACAATTTCCCCGTGCGAGTGAAAATTAAAAATAAAATGGATAAATAACTCTCACACTCCGCCTCACACTGGAGAAATCCCGTATTAAGGGTGCCATGGACACACATAGACAACCACAAATTACACCCAAACTCGCGAGAGAAATATTTGTCCCGTCCCGGGAATCGAACCCGGGACCTCTACGTGGCAGACAGCATGAGAACCGTTCGGCCACAGAGGCACTTATAAAATGATTGCACTTTAAAATTAGCATTACCATAGTGAAAAAAAGTATAAGCATAAGTGAAAAAATTGAATTTTTTTCTGCACGTTTAGATTGGTTGGGTATAATCCGTAGGCTTCACCGCGAACGAAGCTAAGCTATCTCACGCAGCCGGGGTATCTTTTTATATTTCGGTTCACACCACGGTCGCCCTTCTGCCGCCCCTCACCCGCGCACGTTTCCATAGTCACGTTTCAATCCATTTTAAACAAAAATTAAACAAGTCACTGACCTGACCATAAACGGTTTAGTGATGGCCAATTGTAATGCAAACTAAAATTAATTAATTAAATGAAAGAATCGATTAGTTTAATTGAGTTATACTAGCGGTTTTTCTTACATGAATAGTAAAAATACATAACCTATAGAAGCATGTATTTAAAATATCCGAAATCTCAATTTGAAATCTTTCTTCAAATATTTACATTTATTGCATTCATGTTGTTACATAGGTCTTAAGTTAGATAGTACCATCGTATATAACCAGAAATAGAGACGAAATAAGGACCATATTATTATATTCCTGATAACATATTAGCGATACAGCTCTTATAAATATCAAATCTCGTTTGCACTGAAACATAGACAGGCCAACTACTGACCTGTGTGCACGTCTCCGTATATTCCAAAAAATATTGTGTATTTATTGTAAATATCTCTAACAATGCCGTGCTGTTCTATTCGGTGGTGTGGGAAAAACAGCAAAACATCTAATTACAAAAAAAACGGAATCACATTTCATCGGCAATTAAATATTAAATATGTAATTTTGCAATTTTCGTCCATTATAGCAAAGCTCAAGTTAACTGGTCGATTTGTAGTGAAACAGTTGACGACATCTATTGATGACACTCGTCAATTGTTTTGAACTCGGGCTAGCCAATCGGAGCGCAGTTGTCACAGTAATGATATGGCAGAATAGTTTTCAAACAAATTAAATGACATTTCGTCTCCATTTCTGGTTATATATTCGACGGATAGTACAGATCAAACATGAACCCTGTAAGGGCATAGAAATGTCAATCCTGAATTCTAAATAAATCTAAATTTGTATTACAATTTTTACATTATTTCTTAATTTGATATTCGATAAAATAAACAATTAAACAAAACAAAAATTATTGCTAATCGTCAAAGTAGCAAGCTCGTTTTAGCTCTATTTTTAAAGCAGTTTATCGTCAAGTTATGTAGAATTTTGTAATGTCATATAATTTCTTATCAATTTCAAAATTTATTACTTTCTTTATTATTATACATATATACACATTAATAATTGTACATTTATGTTACAACAATTTTAATTAGATGATAAAAATTATTTAGATAATAATAACAATTTCTTATCCATTTCATTTTATTAATTTATTCATTTTTATTTGTTATTTTCTCATTTTATGTGCTCAGGCAGTTTGTTGTATATTTTTATTGACATTGTATGTGGGTTCGATAGATTATTATAGATAGATTATAGATTATTTCCGTATCTTGTTGTATGGCGTCGGGGTTCATCTTTCAATTTAGTGTAAAATTAATGTTCGATTGCGATTAAAATTTTCGAAATACCAATCAATTACAAAAATTTTAATTGAATTAACGGAATGTGTTTTTTGTCGTACAGCACTATGCAACCATAGAGAAGTCATAGAAGTATATATGAAAAATAACCTCACTTTTGAACTACCATTTTTCATATACGATTTTCCAATACTATTGAAATTAATATTGTTGGAAAAAGTGATGAGATATCAAGTCGAAATCTTCGAAATATACGTGAAAATGTTACTTATTCGAATTATTGAGTGACTGCTTTAGAATTTTAACCAAACAGGTCCGTTTACTTTTTGTTGAATGAATTTTGAATTTTTGGATTTTGAATTTTTGTTGAATTTGTGGATTGGAACAGACTATACTATGTATTTTTTTTTAGTTTAGCTTTGCATGCAACTACATGAGCTAACCTAACCTAAGTTAGGTAACTTATTGGCGTTGTGGTGTTAGCTTAACTGCCGAATAAAAGTATTTACGGGAGATCTGCGTACTCTTGTATTCGTAGAGACTACGTACATTAAAAGTGATATTATGACATGAAAGTTAAAAAAATGTAATGAATTATATTGGTATATGTGACATTTTGTAATAGAGTCTATATATATATATATATATAGTGAAATCTAGGACATACACTGATTACTTATAAGGTGAGAAAACATGATGCCTAAAAATTTTCACGATAGAAAAAATACAAACAACATACCTCAAAATTTTACACAAAACCGCCTTATTGAATATGTACTTTATATGTATATACCAATGACTTTTTAATATGAATTGAACTAAATAGAACACGTATAGAATACGAAATACATTTTCCAAACGGCTTTATTTTCGTTTGTAATAAAATAAATTATGAAATAAAATCAAGCCAGTGTCTCCGCCGCTCGACCCAAGCAAAATTAAAAACTAGGTAGTTTTGACTCTTATGAAAATAATAATTGCGATCAGCGCGCGTCGTTGAACATTAGAATTTCGTCCTTATTTTTTTATACTTCCCCACGTGTCTTCTCTCCTATTCGCCCAACGGCATTACTTATGTGCGGGAAGGGGATGAATAAACAAAGTGAACGTTATTTGTCAAGTAAAATAAACATAGAAGGAGTTGAACCGCTGGTTACTCTCGAATTTATTGCAAAATCTCAGGCAGTTTTATTGGATTTTTTTCTTCTCGAAATGACGCAATAGCGCAGAAGTATAATTGAGTAAACTTTTATGAATTCTCGAGAGCCTCTTGTTATATCTTTAGATACTGACTGATACTGACTTGTTGCGTAGGTACCTATATGGCCACATATTCGCAACGATGATGTGTGCAGAGGGGCGTTCAAGGTTTGCACGTACATTGTACGCATACGTGTGTCTTGTTTTTGACGCCCCGCTAAACGCACCACCGCACACGTTTCGTATTTGTGACCTAAGGGCTCATTCAGAGCGCAGGCGCTGCGGCAGGCGTGCGGGTCTTGGCGTCTTCCCTTTTACAGTGCCGAAGCGACTAAAACCGTTAGATCCCCATGCGGAAGTTGCAAAAAGACGCTAAGCACTGTGAATGGTATATACGGGCGAACTCAGCCAGCAGACCAACCCGCGCGGCGCACGAGCCGCCGCGTCTACGTCCATCTGGTTTACACGCACCCGCGCAAGCCGCCGCGACGGCTTACGTGCAAGCGACTGTGTAAACTGCAATACCGACGTATTAACGATATTACTCCGAAGTTAAACCCCACGGGTAAATCACAACACCTATTTTATCATTTTTAATATTTCGTGGTATGATGAAATTTTTAACTGCAGGGTGTAATAGACTTGGAGTTGACGTTGCTGCCAAAAGAAAAAGCGTTGCTAATGCCCGTTGGACTTGGAAGGGACGCGCCGTCTCCTTTACCAGACCCAAAGTAAGCTTATGCAACCTAATTGGTTCTTTCAGCTATTCTCTTCTGGCCATAAATCTATGTGGATTTTTTTAAAACTTTGTATGCACAACTGTAATTGCTAAACTTAAGCGGGAGTGGGGGCCGAAGAGTTCTTGAGTGGTGACTGCGTACCGGAAGACGCAGCGTGGGCAGACAACAAGGTGGACTGATGACCTGATGAAGGCTGCGGGAATCTGCTGGATACAAGCAGCACAAGACCGGTCGTAATGACTGTCTTTTGGGGAGGTCTACGTTCAGGAGTGGTCTTTCGGCTGAAATGACGATGATAATGATGAAGACAACACACAACAGGGTTACGTTCAAGTGAAAATTAACAAATTTAAATTGTTTTAATGTAACTGGTACAAGGTCAAGAACACGTCAAACTTGACACTTAAGATTTAAATCCAATTCTATGCCGCTCACGATAAGCATCAAAAGTTCAAGGAATGCGGTTCTATTATTTTTTTCTGTTTCCAGTCGTCCCGATTCAGGTTCGACGATTGGCAAATGCTGTGGAGTGATGAAGTCAATTTTGAAGACAGTATTTTGTTGGTACACGATTGCTTGCTTGATTGTCACTGTCCTGATCGTCGCTTTTTATGAATTTTATGAATACATTTTGGTGCCCTGGGCTAGGTATATGGTACTTACTTCTTCTTTTTAATTAAGTTATAGTCATTGTTACTTATATTTAGATATTTTTCTGTTTTTAACCGACTTCAAAAAAGGAGGAGGTTCTCAATTCGACTGTATGTTCTTTTTTTTTGTTTTTTTTTTGAATGTAGGTATGTTACGCGATAACTCCGGTATTTGTGAACCGATTTTCATGATTGTTTTTTTGTTGGAAAGGGGGTATTTCCATAGTAGTCCCATTTCATTTTGAAGAAAATCATCCACCTCAAACGGTGGCTGTTCACGCATGAAGAGTCATTTTTATAACTAGCGCCTAACTTTAATTTAGGAGCAATTACTTTTAGCAATTATTTAGTTGATTTTGCTATTTCTCCAATTCAAGGCGTTTTTCTCTCGAAATAATTTGAGTAGTGTCGTAGAGAGAACCTATTTTTATTATCTCCAGTATCAAGTCCTGTATAGTGGCGAACTAGGGGATATTTCAATGAAACTTAGCAAATAGACGTAATTCCACGTACTTTTGAGGTCGGTTTTTTTAGTACTCTGTACTGAGATTATTGAGATATACAGTTGTAGTAGTTTTTTTTATGTTTGTTTGCTTCCGTCCACCGATGAGGCAAATAAATTTAAAAAATAGATGTTAATGGCAAAGTTGTCTTTTGGCCGTGATAAAATATACTATCTGCCAGATAACATTCAGCAAAAATGTGAAATCATTCAAACATTGTACCAAAATATACTGAGAAATAAATTAAAATTTAAAATTGCATGATTTAACAGCCTCTGTGGCTGAACTGCTTTACTGGACTGCCACGCAATAGGTCCCGGGTTCGGGCCGGGAGAAATATTTGTAGGCGTACATTTATTTCTCTCATGAGTTTGGGTACAATTTATGGTTGTCTATGTATGTGTCCATGGCACCCGTGATACAGGGTTTCCCTAGTGCGGGGCTATGAGTATACACTCATAGCGCGTTATCATTATTATTCTTTTTATTAGTGCTACATAATGTTCGCATTATCGCGTTCCTGATTATTTTAGATTGCCAAACATTGACTTACAATTATATGGACGTCGGGTCCGCGCTAAAAAGTGTCCGAACTTATAGGGCGTTAAAATCGTATACAGAGCGTCATTCACGCTTTAGTCTTCGTTCGTTCGACTGACAGCGAAGCGAGCAAAATCAGACAGTACTGCAATGACATTACAATTTAAATCTAACGTTTTAGCTTTTTCATATTCCTTTACATGTCACTACGTTTAAATAGGTTGACTCGGGACATATTTTTCGTGGTTTTTGTATTAGACCCGTCGTCCATTTATTTGTAAGTCAATGTTGCCAAAGGTATCTTTGTGGTTTTTTTTTCCTTTTTTACGATACCAAACGATGAGACGATCAAGTCGTGTTCCTGATGGCGAGACATAAGTTGACAAGTCCCTGTAATTTCAACAACACTCTTAACCCTCAAAACCGGAAGGCAGCTGCAGAATGCTTACATTACTGTTTGGCGGCACAAATAGGTAAAGTGGCAGTACTTCCCTGGACAAATTCTTTCACAAGGAGCGCTATTGCTGAAATTCCGAAACTGATAGTCTTGTAATCAAAGATCTATAAAAACATAGTTAAGATGGCGTCGAGTTTGAAGCTGAAATATTTTTTTTATTAAATTGATAGTTAAAAAAATTATCTATAACAAATATTTTAACTGCCTCTGTGGTCGAACGGTTACCTTGCTGGACTACCACGCAGAGGTCCTGGGTTGGCCTATGATCTACATTTATTTCTATCATGAGTTTGGGTGTAATTTGTGGTTGTCTATGTGTGTGTCCCGTGGCACCCGCGATACGATACGATTAGCTCTGCGCTCGCTTGAGCGCAGTGGCAGTGCCCCAGAAATCTTTGCGATTTAAACTTCTGAGTGTCACTGCAACTGTTATACACAGGCGTGTCGTGTACGTAGCAAAGCGCACTTGTTCGTCCCGTTACATGGTATCACAAAAAAATATATTAAATTTTATTGTAGCGTCCTGTATAATAAGGAATTAGTACTTTTCAAATTGTGGTAAATGTAAAATAATGTCTTTATTACAGAATCAAAATTGGTTATTACAGAAATCATCCTCGCGCAGTGGGATTAACGGACGTTATATCCTTAAAAATGTTTCCCCTTGAACATGATATAACTGCCTGATGAAGAAGTTCAACATGGAGACAGTGTCAGAGTTTCCGTGTTGAGGAGGCCGCTCACTCACGCCATTTTCACTCTTATTACATAAACATAAAGGCGCACTACTAATTTTCATACAATATTTAGAAGCGTAGTTGCACTGCCCAATGTAGTGACGCGCGTGCCATTTTTGCACAATAATGCAGGGTTTTCACTATACGAGTCTACTCTCGGACTGAGTCCCCTTTGATGACCAGTATTGCCAACTTACCGGCGTTATCACTAAATTTAGCAACGTTTAGACTTCAAAAGCGACATTTTATTTTTATTAATTCTATTTAGCGACTTTTTTGTATATAATTTTTTTAAATGAAAAAAGGTCATGTCAGAATATTGAAATACACTTCCGGACACGTAAGTCGAGCCACCTTGCATTTTCAGATTAACTGGCATAAGCTTAAACAATGTTTGATTGATCGAAAACTACTAAGCTGTTTTGAAATTGGTATACTAAACGTCATTTCCATGAGTCCTTGTTGAAAATTTGAATTTATAAAACCGGGAAAAACTGTTTTCTTCAGTGATAACAATACTTTTGTATTCAGCCTTTTAACAACAAAAATGCAAGGTGGCTCGATTTACGTGTCCGGGAGTATAGTTTAATGATATTTCAGCTATGGATCGTCAGGGTAAGTTCCGATAAGTTGAACACGTTAACTAATTTGAACTGTTTTTAAAAAATAATTTTGTGCACCATTTTTTTCTATCTAAAACGGTTATTTGAGCATTTATCGGGAAAGTAGACCGATTGTACCGAACGGGGCAATCCCTTCGGTACAATTGGTCTACTTTCCCGATCGGTCCACTTGTTTTTCCTTAGCCGTGTTTTAGTTAGTGGGCGGCAGATGTATTGGACTTTCGTCTGTACTATAACCATAAAGCTTTTGCCAATAAAATGCACCATAAAATGAGTATCATAAGTTAAAGAGTAGATTTTTCATCTGAAGGGTAAATATAATTTTAGCGACAACTAACGACTTTTAAACATTCTGTCTAGCGACATGTGCTTTAGTTTAGTTGGCAACACTGCGAATGACTAGTAAGATGCTACTCGAAACGTGTAAACACGTGATCCGAGCGTACTCGGACGTCGCCAGCATTACGAGAGGCGTCCAAGTAGCAGTGGAGTACCGTGGCTTCGGGAGGTACAGCAATGGGATGACAGCGAGCGCGGGCAAGCCCTAACTAGTTAAAATTATTTTATTTTTACTTATGTAATTCGACAAACCATTTTTTCGTGGCACAGTTGAAAAGCTAATACGTAAATCTACGTAGTACACAGACGCAGTTCGTACTATTATAGACCCTACAAAAATTTGTTATGAAGACTTTATGAACACATTTACATCATGTCAGGTCCCTATGTGAGATTATAGGGAACAGCACATAACAAACCGATATCGCGTTTCAGGGTACTAGTGGAGGCATCTAGCGAGTAACAAGCTTAGGGAAATAAAAGTTTTACGTGACTCTGGGCCATGTTGGTTGATATTCAAAGGTATATTTATTTATTATATGTAAATATTCTAGTACTATGTCAGCATACATACCGGGCATGACTGTTTCATAGAACAAATGCGTTTGTGGATTGTAGACTTGTTTTCGAGTTTTATTAAAATTGCAAAATAAATTCCACTATTTGAGAAAACGATATACTGAACATACCAAAGGTAGCGACGACGACGGCAGGCGAACAAAAAAACACAATCGAGGCATGCCTGGCTGAACGAACTACTATAGTAATCGCGAAAATACCTACAGGGGGCAGCAAACTTAAGGTTGGTTCACGAAGTAAAAAAAACTTAAGATTGGTTGGACGACGAAAATCGACGCTCCACTACTACCAAGTCGTTCCAGTGAACTCGGTTCGACCGTACTCGTGAAAACCCGGCTTAATTAACTAAAAATTACAGCGCTTCTACAAGTATTAATTTGAAAGCGCGTTTTTTCTGAACGGTACGACTCCGTATCAACAATAGGGTTCAAATTATAATGAAAACGAAAAAAGTACTTTTTTTCGAGCGCATATTAATACAATTTTAAGCTGATTAACAACTTTTGTTTTTTGTAATCGTTGTGTTTATTATTAATTATTATAACGGCACAATTGTATACCACTATTTCATTAATTTGTCAATGGTATCCTCTTTTTTAATTATCTTAGTAGTTATTTATCTTTTACGATGACATTGTTATGTTTTTAGTTTTTAAGATACACGTGTAAGAAAAAATACTTGTCTTTTTTTATGGTTACGGCCATGGGTATTTATTTTGTCATCGTTATGACGAGTAAAGGCGTTGGACTCGAAATCTGCCATCTATGAGGATTGAAGCGTATCCACTACGAAAATAGTGTTATGTTTACGTTGGTATGTAGCGACATCTGTGTTTTTTTATGGAACTAGTTCGGCCGATGCTTCGTGACTGATTAGAGAGGTGTGACATTTGAGCGCCTAAGAATACTGAATTACACCGATAGAGGGCGCTATGGCAAGATCAGTTTTTGCAGTTTCCGAAATAAATAGGTAATCAAAAGCAAAGCCCAAGTTCAAGCGCGATTTCTTTACTGAATAATATGCGAATAAAGTTCACAGAATAGTTTCTGGAATAACTTCAATATCTGAAAGAAAAATATTTATAAAATTAGTTTTTTTTTTAATTTTAATATTTTTAATTACGAAAACGGGAAATCGGATTGTTAAAAGAAATAAATAAGTTAAATAAGTAAGTTATAAAAACAGAAATGTAAAAAAGTAACAAACAATATGATCGCAATGGTCGGAGGAATTTATACAGCAGTAGATAGTAAATGGAAAAAAGTAAGTATAATTATTTTAATAACAGTAATAATTAAAAAAAAACTTAGTTGAAGACTCTATACACTATGAGACAGAAAAGCAAATCTGACACAACCACTAACGTATTATCCATTTCTCCATCAAATCTATATCTGGGCAAAATCGTTTGATACTAGCGTAACATTTACTTCTTGGTGTGCCATCTCCTACCGGAGGTCGGCTACCATTATAGCCACTTGCGCTTGTGAAATACTCTGCAAGATTTTGGAGCCAAATGGCTTTTCTACAGCCATGTCGTCTGCGGCCGAGTTGCAGGAGAGAGTATTTTTCACTACGCATGTTTTACGGTAGTCCGAAGCTCCAAGCCACATTTCAAAGACTTCTAACCGTTTATTATAACATCGGAATTACCTAGTTAATTAGTGTTCATACTCTCGTACGAAAGAATTTGAAAGCCGCAATCAAATTTAATAGCACATTATAATACCACCTATAACGATTGAAATGAGACCCTAACCTTGTTAATATAAAGTTTTATCTACAAAATAAAAGATACATTGCAAATGTTATGAAATAATAGAAATTATTCTTTCTGACAAGTAACTAAAAAGGTCGCATCAGTCTCCCCAGGCTAATTTAGTCTCAATGGATCTTAGACTTTTTTTTTTTCATTCTCTAAGCAATAGATACAAACACGAGATAGAGCGTCGGCTGCCAGATTATCTTTACCGGGCCTGTACACAATGTCCTTTTTTCCATCCTCTAAGATAATGTCATATTTGTACGGTTCTAATTCCAGTCTCCATCTCTGTATTTCTTATTTTGTTGATTAAATTGAAATGAGACAAACCTTGTTTATAAAGATATTGTCTTTCTGACAAATAACTAAAAAGGTAACATCAACGACACATCTCCTTCTTTATGGTTTCAGGATAATTTGATTTAAAACATACTACGTGTACTTATATTGCCGAAAGTTATACGAAAGAAAACTTGAGTGGCTATAATTAAATATTGCTTCAAATATTTAAAAAATAAAACTTGTTTCATATTTGTAATGGGTGGTATAGTATTATTTAACACAGGCTATTCACTATAAAAGTATTATTTGTTCATTCACGTATTATGTTATTCGAAAATCTATAAATATTAAGCATTGACTTACAAGTAAATGGACGACGGGTCTAATAAAAAAACCACGAAAAAAATGTCCCAAGTCAACCTATTTAAACGTAGTGACATGTAAAGGAATATGAAAAAGCTAAAACGTTGAATTTAAATTCTAATGACATCGCAGTACTGTCTAATTTTGCTTGCTTCGCTGTCAGTCGAATAAACGAAGACTAAAGCGTGAATGACGCTCTGTATACGATTTTAACACCCTATAAGTTCGGACACTTTTTAGCGCGAACCCGACGTCCATATAATTGTATGTCAATGATATTAAAGTTAGCAATTTTTAACTGACTTCAAAAAAGGAGGAGGTTTTCAATTTCGTGTGTATTATGTATGTGTTACGCAATTACTCTGACATTTCGGAATCGATTTCGTTGACTTTTTTCTTGGAAAGAGGGTGGTACCTCTTGGTCCCATTTAAAATTGAAGAAAATATTCCACTTCTAAGGGTGGTAAACTATCGGATAAATCCGGTATAGCGCTCTTTCCGGTAACCGATTTCAATAAAACTTGCCAAAGTGTAATTTATTGTTAAAATGTGATTCTACGAACTTTTAAGGTCGACTAAACGTATCCAAAAGAAAATACGTTTGTTGTCATGGAGTGTTCCAAAATTTACATTAAATATGTAATGGTTCCATTTCATTGTTCTATTTATTCGTTGAAAATGTATTGTATGAAATCATTAAACAACTAGGTCTTAAATCTCGTGCCTATTACTTGCTATTACTCGGCAAAGCCTCGTGGCCTAAACACGTTACTTGACTAACGAAACCTGTTGACGTATTTTCGCCTTGTTTTCGACGTCCATTCGATTTCTGCGAATTCAATTATAACAAGGACGTATGACCTTTTAAATCATTGACAGATATTATGTACAAAATTGGCAAGGCCAAGTAATATCAGTTATATATTTTATTCATAATAAAATTGCTTTCTGAACTTATTTTTCACACAATTCTGGGGCGAGCGGAAGAAGAATAATAGAAACCTACTTATTTATAGGTATGATCTGTAACAATTTCATCTCGTGTATCTCAGTTCACGCATAGTTTCAATCAGCCGTTCGTCCAGAAACCCTTGAAAGGCGCCCGAACGGTTCACGCATGCTTGACAAAAACGACGCCTCCCATTCGCAACGCGATGACCGGACAAACCGCGGCCTCGTTCCGTTGCCACGTTTCCGAACCGTTATAAAAACTCGAAGGACTTCCATTTTCAAATTCGTAGTGGCCATTGGATGTTATCGCAGGTAAGTTTTGTGTTTAGAATTTTTAAAATCCAATGTTTGGTACTTATATTTTTTTATCTTTTTTTTTGCTGTAATTTTTACAGTGGATCTTGACTTTTTGGGTGTTTCTCGCATTTT